AATTAAATTAAATTAAAAATTTATCAATTATTGATAATCTTATCAAATTATAGGGTGGCCAAAACTACAGCCCGAAACCAAGGGGTTGAAAATTCTTTTCAATAAAAATCCCAAAAACACAGCTTGGTAGGATTAAAATTATAGTTAACCTGTTTTCTAATTAATAAACAAATCAATATACCGTGGAGACATACCACAAACCTGAGCTAAGGATGCTTTGCCCCCAAAAAGAATATGCATCTAACACCTGTTGACTAACAACCAAACTCCCAAAATCTGTACTTCTAAGGCCTACTTTTTTAAACAATGTAACTACAGCCGCTGCTATAAGTACCCACCCAAAAAGTGCAGATATTGTTACAAACCTCACCATTCTCATTTGCCGTTTGATCCATCCACCCGTATGCACATCATTTCAAGCCTACAAAGCCGCATCATTCTCATTTGTACCTTTCAAGTCCGGAAATTAGGATGGATATCCAATGAAAGCCGCCGGACCTCAGTACTTTTCCCCAGAGATTCAAGATGAGCAGAATGAGACTATACAGAACCCAGGTTATGATATAATTCACAAACCAAATCTAAACCGGCCGATGTTGACGTAAACCTTTCCCGAAATGTGGTTGCATCAAACGGAGGTACAACCCATTCTTCGCCACCAAAGCATCATGAGTCCCTTCTTCAACAATTCTTCCACCATTAAGTACTACAATGTTGTCAACATGTCTCATCATTGCAGCCCTATGGGCTATCAAAATGGTTGTTTTGTTCCCCATTATCAGTGTATCAAGAGCCTCCTGCACCACTCGGCTTGACTCAGACTCAATGGATGAGCTAGCTTCATCCAATAACAAGATAGGAGCATTCTTCAGAACAACTCGAGCAATGGCAATTCTCTGTTTCTGTCCTGGGGTTAAGTCCACACCCCTCATCCCCACATGTGTGTCATAACCATGAGGCAAGCTGCTGATGAAATGGTGAGCATTGGCTATTCTTGCAGCCTCTTTCATTTCAGCTTCACTAGCATTGTGCCTTGCATATATAATATTTTCCCTGATAGTTGTTGAAAAAATAATAGGCTCCTGCTGAACAAGACCTAAGTGGTTCCTTAACCACCTCAAATTATAGAGTTTTAGGTCTCGCCCATCTAGCAGAACCTGACCAGCAACTGGATCATAGAATCTCTCAATCAAAGATATTATAGTGCTTTTCCCCGATCCTGAAACTCCAACCACTGCTACAGTTTGTCCCCCATTTACTTTAAGACTGAAATTGCTTAATACCAACACTTCTGGACGTGTGGGATAGCAGAAATCTACATTTTTCAACTCAATGCTTCCATAGACATTAGGTGGCTTCAATGCTGAGTTATCATCTGGGTCAATCTTAGGCACCCGATCTATGATTTCAAAAACTGAAGTGAGAGATTTTCTTCGTTTAAGAATGTATGGAGCTAACCCAAATGGCTCCACAAGTGCAAAAGTTGCGAAAGAGAAAACCATATACTCCTTGAGAGCTGTACGAGGATCCATGTAGCCATGTTTAACAGAGGTTGCAGTGTACCAAAGTAAAAGAGCATTACAGGCAAAAAGAAGAAACTGTGAAAAGCCAAAAGCAAAACCAATTGCCATTCCATGAAAGAAACTCTGATTCAATATTTTCTTCAGCTGCAGCCTGTAGAGCTCCATTACCTTGTTACCAGCACAGAATGCTACAACAGTATAAATATTTCTAACTGCATCCTCAAGGACCAATGATGCTTTCCTATGCATCTCCTGAATGCCTCTAGAAAATCCAGCAAGCCACAATTTCTACAACATTTAAGTCCACAACTAATTAGTGGTTACATGGGAGAGCTAGACTACCTCTTTACACCAAACTTTGAATATGCAAAAAAACAAGGAAAAAGAAACCATAGTTGAAGGTTTGAAGGTCAAACAACAAGAGGCTCAAAATGTTTTTGAAAACTTGACACTCCTAATCATGAATTGAACACTAAGTAAAAACAGAATTAACTTCAGAAATTAAGTAGAAGGTGAAAACCTGTGCAATGGCAGAAACAGTGAGAACAGGCAGGGTTGCCAGCGCGACAAGTGCCAATCGCCACTCTAGCAACATCCCAATAAGAACAGCAACAATAACAGCAGCACTGTCCTGTATAAATATTGAGAGTCGGTTACTAAAAGAAGCTCGCACAAATGTAGCATCATTTGCCAATCGCATGGATAATGTGTCCGCACTATTCTCTTCCTCATCAAACCACCCAACTTCATTGCGCAGCATTGCTGTGAAATAATAGCAATAATGAGGTTAATTATGTTAATAGATTCTGTTCCTCAAAAGAAGAGAAGATAATAAATGCAATTTAAAGAATGGATTCAGGCACCTGAGAACATCATTCTGCGTACACGTTCAGTCATCTTCTCTCCCATAATACCAAAGTAGAAGTGTTGCAAAAAATTGGCAACCACAGTCACTATGCCCATACAGGCAATGATCAAGCACCATTTGTCTATCTCATGACGTAAATGATGATGTTCATCAGGCCCATAGTATGCCGTTACAATCAGAGCAATAACATAAGCAAGAAGGGGATTGAAAGAGCCAAATATAGCAGCACCAATGCTTCCCAGTACAGCATAAAGCCATTCTGCAAAACTAAGCTCTGCCAACCTCCCGAGTGATGGAGCCTCCCCATGGGTATCTTTTGCTTTGTTAACTTTTACTGGTACATCATCAGAGTGACTGTGAGGCCGACTAAAAGTCTGAGAATGAGAGCGTTCATTTTTAGGATCAGAAGTTAAGAGGGGAGATACAGGAGATTCTGGGTCTGAGCCATTGGATTTCTGCCGTTGGGTGGATTGAACATCGATCTTGGGTAATTCTGGTAGTCTCATTTCAAAACTATCTTGCCTTCTAATTGATGGTTCCTTTTCACCAGCCTCTGCTGGCAAGCCATTTTCTAGCATTTTCTCTGGTGGTGGACTATGAACTTTTGGTGATTCCTGAGAGTTATAGATACCATCCTGGGGGCGAAATACAGCAGTAAGTCGCTGAAGAGAGGGTGATTTAGAAAACTTAGGAGACGATGGTTCTTGGAAGCTGTTAACTGAAGAAGAATCCTTTTCAATTTGGAAAGTCGAAGTCTCCCTATAGTTCCTCACTGGCATCCTGGATAAAGATATATGATACATAAATAACATGGAGCAAGAGTGAAATGGATTTCCATTCTATCAAAACCATATTCTAACAGGAAATAGACTTTCAAACATAATACTTCAGTCTTTAGCCTACTAGCAAAAAGCATCTTTAACTCTGGTTACCTCCTTGGAAGTTTAGTTGCTTCTTCACACTTGAGAAGCTCTGCATACAAGCCATCAAGGTTTAGTAACTCATCATGTGTGCCCATTTCAACAAGCTGACCCTCCTCCATCACAGCTATGTAATCAGCATTTCTTATAAGACTAAGTCGTCGAGCTATTATTATAGTTGAGCGTCCCAACATGAGCAAATCTAGAGCTTCCTGAACAGTTCTTTCAGCTTCAAAATCAAGTCCACCAGTAACCTCATCAAGCAAAAGGATTGTAGGATTCAAGAGCACTGCCCTTGCAATAGAAAGTTTTATTTTCTGTTCCTCTGTCAATGCTAAGCCAGCCCTTCCAACCTGATATGCATAAGATATAATTTAAAAAAGAAAATAAAGAAACGAAAAAGGCCAGTTAAGATATCTTATGCTTCCAAATTTCACCTGTGTCTCATATCCCTTCTCAAGTGAGCTGATAAATGTATGTGCATGTGCTATTTTCGCAGCTTCTTCAATTTGATCCAGAGTAGCATCTCGGCCATAAGCAATATTATCTTTTATACTTAAACTTAGTAGGGCCGGCTCCTGGGTAACCAGTCCTATTTGGCTTCTCAGCCACCCCAGTTTTAGGTTTTTAATATTCTCTCCATCTAGAAGGACTTCTCCTGAAGCATAGAAATGAGGGAAAAAAAGTTGGAATTTATGAGGTGGCATAATGAATGAGAATAAACTATTGCCATAGTAAATGCAATGAAACTAAACAATACACAATCATATTATTATTACCTAATGTAGGATCATAGAACCTTTCCATTAGAGGGATAATACTACTTTTCCCAGAACCATTTCTACCAACAAGTGCCACTGCCTTTTTGGCAGGAACAGTCAGGTAAAAACCACTCAGAATAGGGATTTCTGGCCGAGACAGATAGCTAAAATACACATTTCGGAACTCAATATTTCCTTGAACAGATGGTAGGGTGCTTCCCTCCTGATTAGCAGCAGAAGATGACCGGCTTATCATCTCAAAAAGTCTATAAGCCGCAATACGTCCTTGGTCAAAGGAATAGAAATTTGTTGCTGCTTGATTCAGCCCTCTACAGTAAAAGAGAGGGGGGGTTATGTAACTTAACAAGATAGCGAGCAAAAAAACAAAGAATTATACTGGGGGAAAAAAAGAAGAAGAAAAAAGGGAAAAAGAAATTGCTGCTTACAGGCCACTTAAAATTACAGCAAATAGAGCCGTTATAATTTCACCCCCATGAGCCTTGTTATTTGTAACTAGGAGCCTTCCAACCCAAAGTTGTAGGGCACAAGAACATATTGCAAGCCCATATGTAAATCCAAGTCCAAGACCTTGAACAAGACTGATCAATATGCCATATCTAAGAGTTGCTTGTAGTGAGGTTGCATAAGAATATTTGGCCAAAGTTTCATTTGTAAATGCATACAAAGTCCTAACGTAAGAGACTTGCTGCATAAAATAAGAAAATTTACGTATATAAGGATCTCTGGCATAAGATGCTCCAAGATTACTAGCCATGTCAAAATGCTATGGCACATTGACATTGCAAAACCGACAACAGAAATCTGTTAGGCTGTTAGCCAAGCCAAGCCATTCTAAAAGAACACTGAGTAGGCAGACAACACAAATCCTTCAATAATCAGAACAAATAACAAATACAAACTCAGAAGTGTTGGCATCTATCATTAAATTTGGGATTATTATTAAAAAAAAATAATAATATACACATACCTCAGCTGTTGAGAAGTGAAGGAAGAGGAGTGAAGGATGGATAAAATTAGGATGAAGGAAAAACCTGTTCAGCAATACTAGCAGCTTCAGCGTATGCATCTTGAATGTTCTCAGCAAGCCTATGGAGAAATATGTTGGATACACCTCCCGCAGCAACAATGAATGGACCAGTGGCCAGTGTTATGAGGGCAACTTGCCAACAGTTGACAAAACCAATAACAAGACCACCGAAAAAGGTAGCCATATTATGAATGTAATTTCCAACCTGTATAATCAAAAAGCCCAAACAAGGATTAGAAAAGACATCTGCAGGAACGTCCAAAGAGAAGCAGTTGATTACTGCAAGAGGGGGAAACCCACATGTGAAGCAACATAGGACTAAACATACCTTTTCACTAAGAGCAGATTGAATAAGCAGCACATCACTCAATACTTGGCTCACAATGTCTCCATTATTCCCATAAGTATCAAAAAAACTCATATCTTGGTTCAGCAATACTTGAACATATTTAGACCTGATAACAGCAGTCTGCCGCTCTCCAGTCAGAATCCAGCACGATACCTCTATTACACAGAAACAAGTTAGTGGCAATAATGACTGTGAAGAAGCATCTATTTACAGATAATAGTAATGAAGCATTAACTGGTTTCAAAATAAACTTACCAATCCATCCAGCAACAAAAACACCCACAGCAATGTAAGCAATGGATAAAGCAAGCTGCGGCAAGGAAAAAAAAAATAATACATCAACTTCCATTGAAGATATGTCCTGCAAGAATCTGTTTGTAAATCGCTTGAGAATCAGCCTTAAAATATCATGTGACCCAATTAATATCAAAAGAGGAAAAACTCAAGTTTCGAGCCATAACTGTTAATTTGGGCTTGAAAATCACCAAAATTACCTGAACTAAACAAAATGAGACTACCAGCTGTCACTTTCTTATGTTGAATCAGTTCCTTTCCATTTCTAAAGTAATATCAAACTGTTATCAAATATACAAGAATGTATAGTTTGTGATTCAAAATTTTCACTTTTCACTTCAAAATTGATAATTCACTTGAAATCAACATCATCGTGGATAATATCAGGTGATAACATCACTGCCTCACACCAGACTTGATATATAATAAGAGTCTGAAGCAACATAACTAGGCCAGTACCATAGGAAATTAGTGGTTTTGAAAAAGTGAAATAGTAAACTAGGATACCAGCTCAACTAGCAAGGGAAGACCTAAGCTAAGCTTCTAAAATCTCAAAATTAAACTTCGAAAACCCCAAAAAACTAACCTCTTTGAATCTCTCCACCTGTACCGGAATCCCACCTTCGGGTGGACTACCCCCGATGGCCATAACATGGACAATCTTCGCGAAGTAATGCAAGTAAACAACTAGAGCCGTGCCATGAGCAGCCGCAGCAAGCGATCCGACGATCATGAGAGTCCAGTCGAGGCGATCAGCACATGCAAATAGCCGCGAAAATGGCACGGCAGCAGGTGGAGGTTCCATCTCTTCAACCTCTTCGATCTCCTCCTCAGCCTCTGCCTGCGCAGCAGCCGCCGCCGCCGCCTCTGCAGTGCCCTCAAGGTACGGCGACGGCGACTCCGGAGGCTCCGACACCTCGGACACCGGCGTCAACGGTTGTATATGTGGCGGTGACAACCCAAACAACCCCCTCGATATCATCATCTTGACAAACCTCCTTCTACCAAAACCCTAACTTTCTCTCCTCCTTCCTCACCCCTCTAAATTAAGCAGAAATCACACCGATCTGTTCTATTCAGAGGGAAATCTAACCAACAACAGAATTGAATCGGTTTCGTATCTTCTTCAAGATTCCTTCTCCTTCTTCTTCTTCTTCCTCCGCTCCGCTCCGTACTTTCTTTCTTCAAGTTAGAAAGGGAGCAGGTGTGGTGGGCGAGACAGGGTCAAAGCAGGCGGAGACAGGAGGAGGAGGGGAAAATATCTGGCGACCTACCATAACATAATGTTTTTCATGTTTCCGTTGATTGTTAACGGTCAAGTGCCGGCGCTGGCGATGAGTTTCAACTACGGTGAACAGAGACCTGAATCTGTGTTGGTATATGCGATAACAGCTGTAACAGTCCCACGCGGGATTAATTTTTAAGGGTGACACGTGGGGGTTTAGGTGAATGGAGGGTGAGGTTAGATGTGCTCGTTGCAGAAAAAAATAAATGATGATTAAAAAAAAGAAAAAAGAAAAAAAAGGCAGGGTTTTGAGCCTGTGGGATTGGGAGGAGCAGACATCATTGTAAGAGTGAGCTTTTCTTCCCTGCCAGTCCATTTGCTCTGTTTTCCTGCCTTTTTATTTTTTTATTTTTTTCACTTTGCCTTTTTTTTTCTTTTACTTTGCCTTTTCTTTTTTTTGTTGTATTCTAAGATAATTTGATCCATTATTAGTTTGAAAATTATTACTAGGTTGGTTTTTTTTAACAAATTTAATTTTTTTTATATTTTAGACATTAATTTTAAATAAAAATTTAATAATTTAAATAAATAGTAATTACAAATTTTTTTATATGAAATTTTTACTGAATATTTTTATTTGATTAAAAAAATTTTAATTTTCAGTTATATAATATATTAAATTTTTATTTAAAATTTTTATTTAAAAAATTATAAAAGATAAATTAATTCTATTAAAAATAAACTAATGAAATATTTCATTTTCTATTTCATAATTATAGTGCTAAAAGTAATTATAGATTAATGTAAAGCAAATTGTTTTCTTTTTTTTTTTATTTGTTTAAAAGACCTATTTAAAATTTTATATTTTAATTACTATATTTAAAAATTAATTATTAAATTAAATATTTTATTTATATAAATTTAAATTTTTAAATAAATCTAATATTTATAATTATTCAGTAAAAAATAAGTCACTGCGATGGGTTAGTTATGGGAACTTATTAGATTCATAGCAGAGAGGGTCTGGGTCTGCATTTTAAGGTTTTTAGATTTGAGATGTTTCACTTAAGAGTCTCAACATTTATCGGTACCTATTTAGATTAATCTTTGTTTAGTTGGAAGGAAACGAAAAGAAATTAAGGGAGGAGTTTTGCCATATCTTGCTTTAATATTTTTTGTATTCTTTTCATTTTTCTCTCTTATTTTATTTAAAATTTTTTTGTTAATTAAATAGAATAATTTTTTCACTTTCCTTCCCTTCTCTAAACTCCCCTGACACCCAACATAATATATGAGTTTAATTTTTAAATGGAATGGATACCTAATAGTTGATTAGCTATTATTATTAGTAATCTTAGTATTTTTTTTTCGTACGTTTAATTCAACCAAACACCCGTAATTTTTAAGACACTTTTGGTATAAGGCTACGCAATGATGTTTTAGTCTTGCTCTAAGGTTAGTAATAAAAATCTTTTAAAATTAATAAAGTTGTCTTAAATAACAAAAGTAGGGGAACTTTTTGACTTTCCTTTTTCCATAATTAGAAAATGTATTGATGATAATCTTTTGTCCTAATGCTTTTTGTATCTTGTTAACAGTGTTAGGGGAGCAGTATAACAAAAGCAAAAAAAAGACATTAGTGGACAGATTCGAGCACATAAGCTTCCATTGGGGGCATAAAAGCATATATCTTAAAAAATAATAATAATAATAAATAAAAAGAAAAAAGAAGAAGAAAACGTTGATGTTGATATGGCTTGGCAGGTCAATATCTTACCAAATTCTATAATTTAGAATCTTCTATTCAAAATAAGATGCCCCTTTGCTTTTCTTAGGTCAATATCATGCCAATTTCCAGCATTCTAGAAAAGAGAAAGAAAAATAAAACCGTGAACCTATCAAAAACCCGGCCGTAGAAGAGTGAAAATTTAAAAGGTTGAATGTGAATTTTAGTTCTTAAGTTTTTATTTTTAAATATTTTAAAATTTTAAATTAATTTTTACATTTTTTTAGTTTATAAATTATAAAAAAAATATATTATTTTAATCATTCTATCAATTAATTCATTAAATATATTTATATATACACATTTCTATTTTTATTATAAAGGCTAAAAATGTACATATGTTATAAATTTGAAACTAAAAATATTTATATTTAGAAAAAATTAATGAAATAACAGAAAAAATGATAAAAAAATATATTTTTCAAAGTTAAATAACGAACAAAGTACCAAAAATATTGAAAGACTAATTTATTCAAATTTAAAAGTTAAGGGACTAAAATTGACATTCACAATTAAAAAGGAAAAGCC